ACTGAACTGAAGCTGAGATGAGCTAACGTCAACATGTCTATGAAGATTCTCAGTCATCCAGGTCATAGTTATCCAACGAAGGTTAAAGTCAAGGGCAACTGGACTTGGTTGAAGATACTGGAAGACGTTTCGTCCCTCATCCAAAGGACTTCTTCAGTTCTGACTGACTGGCAGGGAAACTCAGCTATTTAACCTCAGTGGGGTCGTTGGCCCGGGTCATCGATACCACTGGTTCGTTAGTGTTCCTGGTTGCTGTGACGACAGTCGTTAAGACTACCTGTGGCCAAGACTGAACGACCATCGTTGGTATCTTCACCTGAGGCCAATAGGTTACGTTTGAGTTTCCTGGGAAGTGATGAAAGGACAGCATTGTAAGGATGAGGGACAAAACGTCTTCCAGTATCTTCAACCAAGTCCAGTTGCCCTTGATTTTAACCTTCGTTGGATAACGTCAACATGGTATGTTCGTAAATATTTAGATCAGCCGTTCCCCGCCTCAGGGTCCTGACGGGTCCCGAGATCAATCTGATGGTCTACAACATGATTTATTTATTTTATTCATTTTGTTTAATATATATGTACATACTCAGATTTATAGATAAACCGACATAACTCAGCTATACAGGAAGTTAAAGATAAAATTATAATAATTAAATTACAGAAATCAGACTTAAAAAGCCACATTCAGCATAGATGTGGGATGGATGCACCGGTTTTCTCAGAGGACTTTGGAGACTACGTGAGGGTGTAAAGAAGTGTTTTAGAGGAAGCTCATTTAATTTCAGTTCTGATCAGTGGTGCATTCAGGTACCTCTGTGGGCTCGGGTGAAAATCACCTGCGGTCTCATTTATAAAACTGCGTAGAAACCCCACTAAAAGTGTACGTGCGCCCAAAAGCCAAAAATGGCACACGGCAAAAAATATTCAGATTTTATAAAACTGTGCGTACACAATCAACTTGAAGTGTCGCGCGTGTGAGGGAGCTCCATGTCCGACCCTTCAAACGCCCATAGTTGCCTTTAAATGGTCAGTGATAATTAATATTAATACGTCCTGACTGCAGGAAGAAAAGGAGGCAAATTCTGACAGAGAAGCTTCAAAACGAGATTTAACTCTGTGACACTGACGTTCCTTTTAGTGAAGCTGTTTGGTGGGTGAAAAAACGCACTTTCATGCAACACCGGAGCTCCACCCCTTTATAACCGATCTGCAGGAAGGGGCGTCCCTCTTGAGTAATGACGTCACTGACCGGAGGGGGACACACGCAAGACGGCATGACGTAGGTATTAATTTGGATCCCCCTGTTTGAAAAGAGAGTAAAGCAAATGCATTCCACGTGTTTAAACATGTATTTACAGCCCACTCACTTAACGAGGCTGCCGATGAGTTAAAAGAAATGTGCCTGTGACTTGTTGTAAATGACATTAAAATAGTGTTATTGTTTTCACAAGCAGCGCATCACATCCAGACGCTGCGCTCAGCCTTTAGCTCTATAAGGAAGCGAACATGTGAGAACAATACATGAAAATATTCACTTGTATTTGCTCGACTGACGCGTTGAAAACAGCATCAATTTAAATATAATTTGTCCTCCTGTTCATCTTATTTGAGAATAAATTGTATTTCATACAAGTAATTAATCTGATTCCTGATTAAAATGTCCAACATATTTGAGGTGTTCTTTTGCAGAAACATTCTCCGTTTGTGTTTATGATCCTCAGTCATGGTTCTTTTTCTGCGCCGCAAATTATCTTAAACTAGTTTTTTTATTTTTTATTGTGCACTTCAGGGAAAATCAATCAAACGAGTGTCTGATTATTTAGAAAGGCTTTAGGCCTGTAATACTCAGAGGTAATATTTCAACATATTTTACACAGCAGTAGGCCTGTTCACTTCAAACAGTTTCTCATTTATCCTCTTCATGTGCGTAGGCATGGTTCAGAGGTTACTTACAGGACGCACATTCTCCCGTCAACTTTGTTTTTTTTATAGATCACAACCTTTGCTTGGGAAGTGGCGTCCGCACGTTTCCAGCCTTTTTATATACTGTTTATAAATGAGACCCCTGATGCTTGTTGGATGTGAACGTTTTGAGTAAAACTTCCAGAATTGAAAAAACACTTTGATCATTAATGTCAACATCATTAAAACAGAATTTAAATTGGCATCAGAACATATGACCCCTCAGTTAATGACTAAATAATGTAGTTCACAGAAACATGTTCCTCTTGATGGGAAGCAGCTGCTTTTGTCTTTCAGACTCCAGCCAGCTGGATGTAGTTTGATTGGTCAATAACTTAATTATATAAAGGTGTGTGTGTGTGTGTGAGAGCTGCTTATGTCAGCAGACAGACTGCTGAGTCTGACTGAGGAACTTATCGTCTCAGCAGGGACTTAGACTCCTGATCGCATGTGATGCAACAATATTAACATGTATACACTACTCCTACTGTAGTAGTCTATATATACACATACCGGCCGTCCATATCCCGAGGACATATGCACACATACTATATACAGGTGCTGGTCATATAATTAGAATATCATCAAAAAGTTGATTTATTTCAGTAATTCCAATCAAAAAGTGAAACTTGGATATTATATTCATTCATTACACACAGACTGATATATTTCAAATGTTTATTTCATTTAATTGTCATGATTAAAACTGACAACTAATGAAAATCCCAAATTCAATATCTCAGAAAATGAGAATATTACTTAAGACCAATACAAAAAGAGGATTTTTAGAAATGTTGGCCAACTGAAAAGTATGAAAACAAAAAGTATGAGCATGTACAGCACTCAATACTTAGTTGGGGCTCCTTTTGCCTGAATTACTGCAGCAATGCGGCGTGGCATGGAGTCGATCAGTCTGTGGCACTGCTCAGGTGTTATGAGAGCCCAGGTTGCTCTGATAGTGGCCTTCAGCTCTTCTGCATTGTTGGGTCTGGCGTATCGCATCTTCCTCTTCACAATACCCCATAGATTTTCTATAGGGTTAAGGTCAGGTCAGTTTGCTGGCCAATTAAGAACAGGGATACCACGGTCCTTAAACCAGGTACTGGTAGCTTTGGCACTGTGTGCAGGTGCCAAGTCCTGTTGGAAAATGAAATCTGCATCTCCATAAAGTTGGTCAGCAGCAGGAAGCATGAAGTGCTCTAAAACTTCCTGGTAGACGGCTGCGTTGACCTTGGACCTCAGAAAACACAGTGGACCAACACCAGCAGATGACATGGCACCCAAACCATCACTGACTGTGGAAACTTCACACTGGACTTCAAGCAACGTGGATTCTGTGCCTCTCCTCTCTTCCTCCAGACTCTGGGACCTTGATTTCCAAAGGAAATGCAAAATTTACTTTCATCAGAGAACATAACTTTGGACCACTCAGCAGCAGTCCAGTGCTTTTTGTCTTTAGTCCAGGCGAGACGCTTCTGACGCTGTGTCTTGTTCAAGAGTGGCTTAACACAAGGAATGCGACAGCTGAAACCCATGTCTTGCATACGTCTGTGCGTGGTGGTTCTTGAAGCACTGACTCCAGCTGCAGTCTACTCTTTGTGAATCTCCCCCACATTTTTAAATGGGTTTTGTTTCACAATCCTCTCCAGGGTGCGGTTATCCCTATTGCTTGTACACTTTTTTTCTACCACATCTTTTCCTTCCCTTCGCCTCTCTATTAATGTGCTTGGACACAGAGCTCTGTGAACAGCCAGCCTCTTTAGCAATGACCTTTTGTGTCTTGCCCTCCTTGTGCAAGGTGTCAATAGTCGTCTTTTGGACAGCTGTCAAGTCAGCGGTCTTCCCCATGATTGTGTAGCCTACAGAACTAGACTGGAGAGACCATCTAAAGGCCTTTGCAGGTGTCTTGAGTTAATTAGCTGATTAGAGTGTGGCACCAGGTGTCTTCAATATTGAACCTTTTCACAATATTCTTATTTTCTGAGAAACTGATTTTGGGGTTTTCACTAGTTGTCAGTTATAATCATCAAAATTAAAAGGAATGATCACTTGAAATATATCAGTCTGTGTGGAATAAATGTATACATTATACAAGTTTCACTTTCTGAATGGAATTACTGAAATAAATCAACTTTTTGATGATATTCCAATTATATGACCAGAACCTGGATATACAAACCTCCGCGCCTTTGCTGTCATCCAAAAGAAAAATGAACAGACTGCTGGAAGCCCCATAATTCCAGGGATACAACACCCCAGGTCTGGAGGAGGAACAGCATTTCAAATCCCCGTTTCTGCATGTACTTGCGGTACGATGTTACCTTGCACTGCTGCAACAGAGACCTCACAATGCAGGAATCTAACTCAGTAACAATATATACAATATACATGTACTGTACATCTATATAGTTTACATAAACTGTACTGTGCGCTAGAGGGACGGCGTTAGCTCAGTCTGCAGGGACTTGGCTTGGGAACCAAAAGGGCTGGCGGTTTGAGTCCAGAACGAACTATTGCCTAAGGTCCCCCTGAACTCCTAAGTGCTCCCCGGGCGCTGCAAAGTGGCTGCACATTGCTCCCAGTTGGGGTGGGTTAAATGCAGAGGGCCTGTGTTGTAGCCTACTGTGTGTAATTGTATGTGACGATCAAAGTTGATTATTATTATTATTATTACTAGATAATCCAGAACAGAGTTCAGGTGTTGGTGGGTGGAACTGAAGGCAGAGCTGAGGATCCCGGTTATGGTGCATTGGGAATCCAGGTCCACTTGCCTGTTTGAGCTTTTAATTTAACCGCATGGTCTCATCAGCAGATGTAGCCCACTAAGTTGTCACTGAATTGTAGGTGTTGAAACTTTTCATGACTCTGAGCACTTTTAAGACTTCAATGTTGGCTCAGACGTTAAACTTTAAGGAACTTAAACCTTCAGTTTTGACTGGTTAGGTTGTGGATTATTGGTTTAGTCAGGACTAAATAAACGTCATAATAAACAGCTTTTTCATTTTCTCTGATTTGTTCCTGTCTTCCGGCTGCAGATCCTCCTGTTTGTTTGTTCAGGATTATCTGTGTGTGTGTGTGTTCAGTCTGTAATGATCGGCATGCTGACCAGGCTTGTGTGTCCATTATAAATGTGGCTGTCAGTGTGATCAGCTGTTACAAACCTGCCGTCGTGCTGCTGATCACCACACGTCGCTGCGCTCAGGTCAGTCTCTTCTGTTTTCTGTTGTTTGTTCTCTCCATCAGATTTATTATCAGAACATTCAAATATTCTTTAAATCACATTCTCACATGAATGTTGAAAAAGTCCCTGGGCTCCTAATTATTTCTTCTTCATGTGCTTTTAGTGGAAGTGATGGAGGATAGTAAAATATGTACCACAGCCAGTGTTGTAAGACAGACTTGAAGAAAAGCTAATTTTTTAACATTAAAGTTAAGTTTGTCCTTTTGTTTGTTTTGTATTTCTGAGTCATTCATACTCATTTGTTTCTATTAGTAAACTAAAGTCAGCATCACACCAGCAAAATGTTGTGAAAAAATATTTAAAAAACAACGTAGGAGGTCTTGAGTTTCACATACAACTCGTAGCTATGAGGGAAATAAGAATTTCTGTGTGACCCAAAACACAATTGGGTATTTCAGTCAGTATTCAGTGAAGTTTCTCCAGGTCAACATGGTGGACTCGACTGTTTGCTGGTTGTCTAAGACCAACAACTGATAAATAAGGAGTCCGTGTTACATCTCTGTGCTGCAGGTCGTGAAATCAGTCGGGCACCATGAGTCCTAAACACGTCGTCTTTAAGAAGGTTTCCCGCGACAAGTCGGTAAGTTGTACAGAAACAGCCCTCTGAAGAAGAGCCAGTAACATCCATGTTGTGACGGAGCAGCACTCCCTGGACCCTTGAGCAAGGCACTGATCCTCCTCTGAACCTCCTGTGTTTCAGGTGGCGGTCTACATGGCCAAGAGAGACTTTGTGGATCACTGTGATTTTGTGGATCCAGTCGGTGAGTTCTGACATTAAAGATCAGTTGTATGTCTGACTGCAGAGAGATTGATGATTAGCTCGTTAGCTAACAACATGTAAATCAGCCAGACTGGGAGGAGTTGGTGTTTTTCTCTTTTGGTGGAGCTAGGCTCACAGTGTCCCCCCTTCGTCTGTGGAGGCTCAACGCTACATGTGATGTTTCTTTCTGTCTCTTTAAGATGGAGTTATTGTGATCGACCCGGTGCAGCTAAAAGGAAAGAAAGGTTAGTTTGTTTGACTGTTGACCTCCCTGTATTCGCTCTGTTGTGGAGCCTGTTGGACCTCAAACAAAACCTTGTTTGTTCCCCTATTCAAGCTGTTTTCTGTGTGTTGTTGTTCAGCAGACAATATGTGACTTCTGTCTTTCTTCCCTGGTTTCCCAAATCATAATCATGCTCAGCAACACAATGTCTTTGTCCCATGATGGTCAGTAATGAGTCAATGTATAAAGATGTCAGCGTCTCCTTTGACTCGTACTTCTCAGGTGAAATATAATCTTTAAAATGTAAATGTCATCTTTATTCAATATAGCCGCGAGTGGCAATGATCGGGGTCCAAGCAAGTCGTGAAAAACACAACATTTGACATTTTCAGAGGAGAACAGACAGATGCAGACGACTTAAGAGATTAAAGTGATGAAAGAATTTGGACTTTAAGATAATTGGAGAAACACAAACTTGATTTTTACAGCATCACCTTGAGATCAGAGAGTGTCATATGTACCTGAGAGCTGGGTGAAATGTTCAACCCGCCTGCGACATTTTGTGTTTCCAAGATTTAAAGTTTAAGCTGCACAAATACTTTGATGCAGAGAAAAATAAGAAGAAAGTGTCACAGGATCCAAATAAAACAGATAACCCCCCTTTGTGAGCAAGTCTGACTCGGTCAACTGAACCAGAGGAGGTGACTTACTGACTGAGTCCACACACCTTCTCACAGGTTGAGCTAGTGACGTCACATGTTCCAGACCTGGTTAGTAACACTTACAACTGGCAAGATGTTGGTGAGAAAATTTGGGTAAAAATCATGCATCATTCTGCCGGTTTCGGTTGTGTCGGGAATTGTTTTGGGCAAAATTGAGCAAAAAAGAAAATGTTGTGCATAGACACATAAAGTTACAGCAAGATACTGAATATCACTGCAGACTCACCGTTTGACAGATTTGAAAACCCTTTGAAACACTTGATATCGGCCATCCAGAGAATGTCTCTGTTGATTTTGGAAGCGTTTGATGAAAGACTTGTGGAGATATAGATGTTAATTGAATTAGCATATTCTGAAAAATATAGAGTGACTGACTTCTGAGTTGACCGTAGGTTGCAGTGAGGCGAACGTTTGTCACAAAAAAGTGGATGTGCTGAAAAAATTTCAGCTCTCGAGGACGTACGGGTGATTTTCTTAGACTTTTTGAAGTTTGGAATGAGAAATGTCTAGAATTTTACATTTTTAGTAATAAGCCAACCCAAACCGAATGGTGGACAAATATCCCAGGACTGCTCAGCGAAGCTCGGACCGATCACCTGAACTGACACGTCAAGTTTGGTTACAATAGCTTAAGCTAATTTTGATTTGCAGGTATTTATGTAAAATTGTACGTAAAGACACAAATGTAAAAATTCATGGGAAAAAAATGGATTGATGTATCAAAATTCTTTTAATAACTTTTGATCAGCGACGTCTGTAGTTGATCCTGCCGAAGGTTCAGGTCGATTGGCGAAACCGTCTGGGACGTGTTTGCAAAAATTGATTTTAGGAAAAAGTGATTAAAAGTCGTATAACTTGACATTTTTAGAGCAGAAGACCATTAGAGGAAAGCTGCAGATGAATGCAGTTTGACTGTAAATGAAGCTGTTTTCGCCATGGTCGACCAAAGAACCTGAGTGCACGTGCTCAACGTCGTATCCAGAGGTCTTTGGGAAATAGACGTCTGCAGTTTGATGCAGTGATGCGGCGTCTGGTCTGAGTGCTGCCAGCATTGCTGCAGCACTCAGACCAGACGCCGCATCACTGCATCAAACTGGTCTATATGGCTGTCGTCCCAGAACGAAGCCTCTTCTAAAGATGATGCACAAGAAAGCTGCAAACAGTTTGCTGAAGACAAGCAGACTGAGGACATGGATCACTGGAACCAGGTCCTGTGGTCTGATGAGACCAAGATAAACTTATTTGGTTCAGATAGTGTCAAGCGTGTGTGACGGCAACCAGGTGAGGAGCACAAAGACAAGTGAGTCCTGCCTACAGTCCAGCATGGTGGTGGGAGTGTCCTAGTCTGGGGCTGCATGAGAGCTGCCAGCACTGGGGAGCTACAGTTCACTGAGGGAACCATGAACGCCAACATGAACTGTAACACACTGAAGCAGAGCAGGATCCCCTCCCTTCACAGACCGGGTCGCAGGACAGTATTCCAACATGATAACGACCCCAAACACACCTCCAAGACGACCGCTGCCTCGCTAAAGATGCTGAGGGTAAAGGTGCATGTCTCCAGACCTGAACCCTACTGAGCATCTGTGGGGCTCCTCAAACAGAAGGTGGAGGAGCACAAGGTCTCTAACATCCACCAGCTCCGTGATGTCATCATGGAGGAGTGGAAGAGGACTCCAGTGGCGACCTGTGAAGCTCTGCTGATCTCCACGCCCAAGAGGGTTACGGCAGTGCTGGAAAATAATGGTGGCCACACAAAATATTTGGGCCCAATTTGGACTTTTTCACTTAGGGGTGTACTCACTTTTGTTGCCAGCAGTTTAGACATTAACGGCTGTGTGATGTGTTATTTTGAGGGGACAGCAAATCTACACTGTTATACAAGCTGTACACTCACTACTTTACATTGGAGCAAAGTGTCATTTCTTCAGTGTTGTAAAAATATAATCAAATATTTACAACAGTGTGAGGGGTGGACTCTCTTTTGTGAGACTGTATACTGAATAGACCGGAGCTCAGTTCTACATTGACCTAAATAAGTAGTTCCTATTAAAATTGTAAGGTTGGTGGATTAACTGTTAACCTTACATCTTTCTGTGTGTTTAGTGTACGTGATGTTGTCATGTACATTTCGATACGGCCGTCAGGACATGGATGTGATGGGTGTGGCCTTCAGGAGGGACCTGTTCCTGGTGACCCGGCAGGTTTACCCCGAGCTGCAGGACAAAGAGAAGCTGACTCACACTAAGATCCAGCAGAAACTGCTCCGAAAGCTGGGAGACAACGCTTTCCCCTTCTTCTTTGAGGTGAGACGCTGAGACAGAAATAAAACCCTCCGTACATCTATTTTCTACCACTTATCCAGGTCTCAGTTGCAGTAGGCAGTAAGTGAACTAGCCCAGACAATCCTCTCGAAAGCCACATCCTCCTTCCACAACTAATAGGATACATAATCCCTCCAGTTCGTTCTGGTTTCCTGTGGGATGTTAGCGTTAGCGCTGGTTGCAGAGTCCTTTTGTGTCCCGCTTGACAGCAAAGCCTGAGGATCCTGGATCTCATCTGAGATTCACATTAAATCTGCAGTTTGAAGCCCAGAGGATGAATCCTGTCTTTTCCTCTTGCACAACCAGCAGAACAAAATATCTACTTGAACATAATTTAATGGGCCAATGGGTATTTTTATGCTCCCCAGATGATTCAGCCCTTAAATGATCACTCGACATGTTTTTGCACTTGATTTACTTGTTGTAAAAGGTTCCCAGACATGTTTGGTGTAATGGGAACACTGGCTGTTTGAGGAGCTCAAAGACTGAGCAGCAACAAGCACTAATTAGTTTAGTAATGAATTAACTGACACATAGATGATCATAAATATGAGTAAGTCAACAATACCAACAAGGTAACACATAAGGATGATGCTGCAACACTAATCATGCTGTTGTGCACACAGATATGAACATGATTGGATGTTACCAGTCAGCTGATTGCTAAGCAGTTGAAGAATAAGCCGGGATTGTGAAGCATGAATGAAGCAGCTGATGTCAGCAGTGCTTTAAATGAACTGATACTCTATTACGTATCAACCTGTTTGAAGTTTTCACGCAGACCGACTGGCCTTAAAAAGCAAAATGTTTAGAGACATTTTATATACAAAGGAGTTCATGGGCGAGATATTCTATAACAAGTTTGTGTTTCAGTTTCCAGACAACCTGCCGTGTTCTGTCGCTCTCCAGCCGGGACCGTCTGATGTGGGAAAGGTAAGTCAGTAGTGATGAGGTTGTTCACATTCAGGTTGAGATGATGTTCATGAACACCAGAGTTTCTGAAGCACCATCCAGTAACGGCTCAGACATCCTGTCCAGACTTTACTCCTGAACTAAAGAAAGACGTCAAATGAACCTTCCTGGTTAACCTAACTTTTCAAAATATGAGATTCTGTTTTCTGTAGTCGGTTACGTAACGGTTCTACCCATAATCCTGCTGGGGTTTATGGTCTGCTCTTATAGTACGGATGTTCCTGAAGAAGGTTTGCAGAGTAATCAGGTTTAATTTCCAGAACTGCCTCAAATCCAGAACATGGACTCATATGGAGGTTTGTTCTGGACTTATATTCAGAAGAGTTTTGTTTCTGAACCTGCTGTATATAAAAAGTGCAGTGAGGTGACTGGAATTGGTCCTAAATGAATAAAACTGGACTGAAGTGGAGTGAAGTTGACCCGATGGGGGAATCTGCTTGTTGTTCTGTCTGTGCGTCTCTGACAGAAATGTGCGGTGGAGTTTGAAGTGAAAGCTTTCTGTGGAGAGAACCAGGACGAGAAGATCGACAAACAGTGAGTTCACTAACAGTGACTTAGTTATGTATTGGTACATATTGTACTACTACACTGTTAGTACAAAGGATTACACCTTGACTTCAGAGTACTTCTGCTGTAGGTTGTCGGCACTAATCTTCAGCGTTGCTGAATCGTTTTATAAAGTTTTTAGTTTGATTTGATATTTATGTTTGATATTGTCTGTCTGTTTCTGCAGGAGTGCAGTTCGTCTCACCATTCGTAAGATCCAGTTCAGTCCAGATGACAGTAAAGTGTTTCCGGTTGCTGAGACCACCTTTGAGTTCCTGATGTCTGAGAAACCGCTGCATGTCAAACTGAGTCTGCCTAAAGAGGTGAGACAGAACCCAGGACAGAATGACCTCTCTCACATTATCTTTCTGTGCACTTATTTATTTGCTTGCACAATAAAGATGTAGTTAGTGTAAAAGATATCAACATTCACACTAAATACAGACACGCCGTTACCTGCAGACACTTTTACAAACACGTCTCAAACACAAATCAAATAAATTAATAAACAATCCTTTGAGAATCTGATTGTCTTTAAATTATTTGGAATTAAGTGGAAACATCACAAAACATCATCAATAACAAACAGTTCCGTCTTTCTGCCTGCCTGTCTGCAGACCTTCTACCACGGGGAACCTGTCAGAGTGAACGTGGAGATCACCAACTCGTCCAGCAGGAACATCAAAGACATCAGTGTGTCAGGTGATGTCTCACGTGTTGTTCCTAACACGCCTCAGCTGACGTCTCACGTGTTGTTCCTAACACGCCTCAGCTGACGTCTCACGTGTTGTTCCTAACACGCCTCAGCTGACGTCTCATGTGTTGTTTCTAACACGCCACAGCTGACGTCTCTGACGTCTCACGTGTTGTTTCTAACACGCCACAGCTGACGTCTCACGTTTTGTTTCTAACATGCCTCAGCTGACGTCTCACGTGTTGTTTCTAACACGCCTCAGCTGACGTCTCACGTGTTGTTTCTAACACGCCTCAGCTGACGTCTCACGTTTTGTTTCTAACACGCCTCAGCTGACGTCTCACGTGTTGTTTCTAACACGCCTCAGCTGACGTCTCACGTTTTGTTTCTAACACGCCTCAGCTGACGTCTCACGTGTTGTTTCTAACACGCCACAGCTGACGTCTCTGACGTCTCACGTGTTCTTTCTAACACACCTCAGCTGACGTCTCATGCATTATTTCTAACACGTCTCAGCTGACGTCTCATGTGTTTCTAACACGTCTCACGTGTTGTTCCAAACACGCTTCAGCTGATGTCTGATATATCACGTGTTGTTTCTAACACGCCTCATCTGACGTCTCACGTTTTGTTTCTAACACGCCTCAGCTGACGTCTCACGTGTTGTTTCTAACACGCCTCAGCTGACGTCTCACGTGTTGTTTCTGACACGCCTCAGCTGACGTCTGATATATCACGTGTTGTTTCTAACACGCCACAGCTGACGTCTCACGTGTTGTTTCTAACACGCCTCATCTGACGTCTTTGACGTCTCACGTGTTGTTTCTAACACGCCTCAGCTGACGTCTCACGTGTTGTTTCTAACACGCCACAGCTGACGTCTCTGACGTCTCACGTGTTGTTTCTAACACACCTCAGCTGACGTCTCACGTGTTGTTTCTAACACGCCTCAGCTGACGTCTCACGTGTTGTTTCTAACACACCTCAGCTGACGTCTCACGTGTTGGTTCTAACACGCCACAGTTGACGTCTCTGATGTCTCACGTGTTGTTTCTCACACGCCTCAGCTGACGTCTCACGTGTTGGTTCTAACACGCCACAGTTGACGTCTCTGATGTCTCACGTGTTGTTTCTCACACGCCTCAGCTGACGTCTCACATGTTGTTTCTAACACGCCTCACGTGTTGTTGCAAACAGGCTTCAGCTGACGTCTCTGATATATCACGTATTGTTTCTAACACGCCTCAGCTGACGTCTCACGTGTTGTTTCTAACATGCCACAGCTGACATCTCTGACGTCTCACGTGTTGTTTCTAACACGCCACGGCTGGCATCTCTGACGTCTCACGTGTTGGTTCTAACACGCCACAGTTGACGTCTCTGATGTCTCACGTGTTGTTTCTCACACGCCTCAGCTGACGTCTCACGTGTTGTTTCTAACACACCTCAGCAGACGTTTCATGCATTGTTTCTAACACATCTCAGCTGACGTCTCACATGTTGTTTCTAACACGCCTCACGTGTTGTTCCAAACAGGCTTCATCTGACGTCTCTGATATATCACGTGTTGTTTCAAACACGCCTCAGCTGACGTTTCACGTGTTCTTTCTAACACGCCTCAGCTGACATTTCACATGTTGTTTCTAACACGCCTCACGTGTTGTTCCAAACACGCTTCAGCTGACGTCTGATATATCACGTGTTCTTTCTAACACACCTCAGCAGACGTCTCACGTTTTGTTTCTAACACGCCACAGCTGAGGTCTCTGATGTCTCACGTGTTGTTTCTAACACACCTCAGCAGACGTCTCACGTGTTGTTTCTAACACGCCTCAGCTGACGTTTCACGTGTTCTTTCTAACACGCCTCAGCTGACGTTTCATGCATTGTTTCTAACACGTCTCAGCTGACGTCTCATATGCTGTTTCTAACACGCCTCACGTGTTGTTCCAAACACGCTTCAGCTGACGTCTCTGATATATCACGTGTTGCTTCTAACACGCCTCAGCTGACGTCTCACGTGTTGTTTTTAACACATCTCAGCTGATGTCTCACGTGTTCTTTCTAACACGCTTCAGCTGACGTCTCACGTGTTCTTTCTAACACACCTCAGCAGACGTCTCACGTGTTCTTTCTAACACACCTCAGCAGACGTCTCACGTGTTGTTTCTAACACGCCTCAGCTGACGTCTCACGTGTTGCTTCTAACACACCACAGCTGACGTCTCACGTGTTCTTTCTAACACGCTTCAGCTGACGTCTCACGTGTTGCTTCTAACACGCCTCAGCTGACGTCTCACGTGTTGTTTCTAACACACCACAGCTGACGTCTCACGTGTTCTTTCTAACACGCTTCAGCAGACGTCTCACGTGTTCTTTCTAACACGCTTCAGCAGACGTCTCACGTGTTCTTTCTAACACGCTTCAGCAGACGTCTCACGTGTTCTTTCTAACACACCTCAGCAGACGTCTCACGTGTTCTTTCTAACACACCTCAGCAGACGTCTCACGTGTTCTTTCTAACACGCTTCAGCTGACATCTCACGTGTTGTTTCTAACACACTTCAGCTGACGTCTCACGTGTTGTTTCTAACACACCTCAGCTGACGTCTCACGTGTTGTTTCTAACACACCTCAGCAGACGTCTCACGTGTTGTTTCTAACACACCTCAGCAGACGTCTCACGTGTTGTTTCTAACACACCTCAGCAGACGTCTCACGTGTTGTTTCTAACACGCCTCAGCTGACGTCTCACGTGTTGTTTCTAACACACCACAGCTGACGTCTCACGTGTTCTTTCTAACACACCTCAGCAGACGTCTCACGTGTTGCTTCTAACACGCCTCAGCTGAGGTCTCTGATGTCTCACGTGTTGTTTCTAACACACCTCAGCAGACGTCTCACGTGTTCTTTCTAACACACCTCAGCAGACGTCTCACGTGTTGTTTCTAACACGCCTCAGCTGACGTCTCACGTGTTGCTTCTAACACACCACAGCTGATGTCTCACGTGTTCTTTCTAACACACCTCAGCAGACGTCTCACGTGTTCTTTCTAACACACCTCAGCAGACGTCTCACGTGTTGCTTCTAACACGCCTCAGCTGAGGTCTCTGATGTCTCACGTGTTGTTTCTAACACACCTCAGCAGACGTCTCACGTGTTCTTTCTAACATGCCACAGCTGGCGTCTCTGATGTCTTACGTATTGTTTCTAACATACCTCAGCTGACGTCTCACTTGTTGTTTCTAACACACCTCAGCAGACGTCTCACCTGTTGTTTCTAACACGCCTCAGCTGACATCTCACGTGTTCTTTCTAACACGCCTCAGCTGACGTCTCACTTGTTGTTTCTAACACACCTCAGCAGACGTCTCACCTGTTGTTTCTAACACGCCTCAGCTGACATCTCACGTGTTCTTTCTAACACGCCTCAGCAGACGTCTCACGTGTTCTTTCTAACACGCCTCAGCAGACGTCTCACATGTTGTTTCTAACACGCCTCAGCTGACGTCTCACATGTTGTTTCTAACACGCCTCAGCTGACATCTCACGTGTTCTTTCTAACACGCCTCAGCAGACGTCTCACATGTTGTTTCTAACACACCTCAGCAGACGTCTCACATGTTGTTTCTAACACGCCTCAGCTGACATCTCACGTGTTCTTTCTAACACGCCTCAGCAGACGTCTCACGTGTTCTTTCTAACACGCCTCAGCTGACGTCTCACGTGTTGTTTCTAACACACCTCAGCTGACATCTCACGTGTTCTTTCTAACACGCCTCAGCTGACGTCTCACATGTTGTTTCTAACACGCCTCAGCTGACATCTCACGTGTTCTTTCTAACACGCCTCAGCAGACGTCTCACGTGTTCTTTCTAACACGCCTCAGCAGACGTCTCACGTGTTCTTTCTAACACGCCTCAGCTGACGTTTCACGTGTTGTTTCTAACACGCCTCAGCTGACGTTTCACGTGTTGTTTCTAACACGCCTCAGCTGACGTCTCACGTGTTGTTTCTAACACGCCTCAGCTGACGTCTCACGTGTTGTTTCTAACACGCCTCACCTCTTATCTGTTAACTTTCCTGTCTCTGTGTTTAGTCGAACAGGTGACCAATGTTGTTCTTTACTCCAATGACAAATACATCAAATCTGTGGCCAAAGAAGAGACCAGGTGAGTTCAGCACCACTAGCTTTTATTCAGAACAAAAAGACAGTTTCTGTTTTCCTGTAACGTCATGGAGCATTTTAACGTCTCACAAATTATTTCACAGATTAACAGATTGCAGGTTTAATCTGTGTGTGTGTGTGTGTGCGCGCAGTGACTCGGTTCCCTCTGGTACCAGCCTGAAGAAGGAGTACACTCTGCTTCCTCTTCTGGCTCACAACAAGGACAGGAGAGGACTCGCTCTGGATGGACGACTTAAACACGAAGACACCAACCTGGCTTCATCCAGCATGTAGGACACAGGGACGCTGAGAGACGCTGTGAAGATTATTATAATCTAACTAAAACTAAAGATAACTGTGTCTTTGTCTCTTTGTGTCCAGAGTGAAGCAGGAGGTGCTGAAGGAGGTTCAGGGGATGCTGATCTCCTATAAGGTCGTGCTGAAGATGATCGCTTCTGGGTGAGTCTGAACCACTCGGCATGCTGGGAAGTCAGCTGACACACTTCCTGTTGTTGCTTTAACACAATTGATCCAAAAACACCGTACACTGTGACATAAGTGTACACCATGACATCACTGCATACACGTGACATCACCGTACACCGTGACATAAGTGTACACCGTGACATCACTGCATACACGCGACATCACCGTACACCGTGACATCACTGCATACACGTGACATCACCGTACACCGTGACATAAGTGTACACCATGACATCACTGCATACACGTGACATCACTGTACACCGTGACATCACTGCATACACGTGACATCACTGTACACCGTGACATCACTGCATACACGTGACATCACCGTACACCGTGACATAAGTGTACACCGTGACATCACTGCATACACGTGACATCACCGTACACCATGACTTCACTGCATACACGTGACATCACCGTACATGTGACATAAGTGTACACCATGACATCACTGCATACACGTGACATCACCGTACACCGTGACATCACTGCATACACGTGACATCACCGTACACTGTGACATAAGTGTACACCATGACATCACTGCATACACGTGACATCACCGTACACCGTGACATAAGTGTACACCGTGACATCACTGCATACACGCGACATCACCGTACACCGTGACATCACTGCATACACGTGACATCACCGTACACCGTGACATAAGTGTACACCATGACATCACTGCATACACGTGACATCACTGTACACCGTGACATCACTGCATACACGTGACATCACTGTACACCGTGACATCACTGCATACACGTGACATCACCGTACACCGTGACATAAGTGTACACCGTGACATCACTGCATACACGTGACATCACCGTACACCATGACTTCACTGCATACACGTGACATCACCGTACATGTGACATAAGTGTACACCATGACATCACTGCATACACGTGACATCACCGTACACCGTGACATCACTGCATACACGTGACATCACCGTACACCGTGACATAAGTGTACACCATGACATCACTGCATACACTGACATCACCGTACACCGTGACATCACTGCATACACGTGACATCACTGTACACCGTGACATCACTGCATACACGTGACATCACTGTACACCGTGACATCACTGCATACACGTGACATCACCGTACACCGTGACATAAGTGTACACCGTGACATCACTGCATACACGTGACATCACCGTACACCATGACTTCACTGCATACACGTGACATCACCGTACATGTGACATAAGTGTACACCATGACATCACTGCATACACTGACATCACCGTACACCGTGACATCACTGCATACACGTGACATCACCGTACACCGTGACATCACCGCATACACGTGACATCACCGTACACCGTGACATCACTGCATACACTGACATCACCGTACACGTGACATCACTGCATACACGTGACATCACCGTACACCGTGACATAAGTGTACACCATGACATCACTGCATACACTGACATAAGTGTACACCATGACATCACTGCATACACGTGACATCACCGTACACCGTGACATCACTGCATACACTGACATCACCGTACACGTGACATCACTGCATACACTGACATCACCGTACACGTGACATCACTGCATACACGTGACATCACCGTACACCATGACATCACTGCATACACGTGACATCACCGTACACGTGACATCACTGCATACACGTGACATCACCGTACACGTGACATCACTGCATACATGTGACATCACCGTACACCGTGACATCACTGCATACACGTGACATCACCGTACACCGTGACATCACTGCATACACGTGACATCACCGCACACACGTGACATCACCGCACACACGTGACATCACCGCACACCGTGAGATCACTGCATACACGTGACATCACCGCACACCGTGAGATCACTGCATACACGTGACATCACTGCATACACGTGACATCACCGTACACCGTGAGATCACTGCATACACGTGACATCACCGTACACCGTGACATCACAAAGGTCAAAGTGAATGAAAAGTTGTTTGTAGTCGTGAGAGTTGGTGAATAAAAACTCACCGTGTTTCTCTGCTCTCTCTCTCTCTCTCTCTCTTCACACTGACAGGACGGTGGGATCCAGGTAAACGGTCACATACAGTGTTTGTGTGAGTTAACGAGTAGAAACACTTCACATCTGATCAACGTGTGTGTGTGTTTTACAGCGAGGTGTCTCTGGAGCTTCCATTCAGACTGATGCATCCTAAACCTGAACCAGGTAACCCCCCCCCCCACACACACACACAGTTCATCTACAGGTAACACACCTGAGGATGAGTTAATCAGCTTGTTGTGTATCGCTGACTGCACTGAGCTGTTTATCATCTCAACAACAAGCTGCATCACATTCTGAAGATTAACATGTGGATGAATAAACTGTGCAGATTAACCACACACACGCGTCTGTACCTGCGAGGCGCCCCAGTGATCCATAATCCATCTCCTCTGGACCTGACTGTGGCTCTAACTGCTCTCCACAGGCTGCAGCACAGTTTCTATGTAAAGAGACTGAGATAAGAAGAAGCTTCTGTAATAAATCTGTTAAACAGACGGATGTTTTCAGATCACACATTGAATTCAACCTCCAGCAGTTCTAACAAATCACTGTGGGACAATTTAGGTCACTGTTAAAACGTCTCTTGTCAGAAGGTTATTATAATAAAATGTCTAAAAATATCAAATGTGCAGCTTCTAAAAGTAAACAAACACCTCAAGGCAACAGATTTGCTTCTTCCAACTGTTCCAGTGATTTTCTCCTCCTGAGAACAAAGACGCAGCTTTCAGCCGGTAAGCTGACCTTTAACAGGACTGTTTAGTTTGGAGATCTTCTGCATCTCCATGTCTTTGTAAATGTTCCACTAAATGTCCAAAATGTCTTCACACTGAAATCAAACAGAAGACAGAATCGTATTAGATCCATCTTTTGGAGTTTCAGAAGTTGTTATTTCTCCTTCAATATTTTCCAGGCTGAAATGTCAGAGAGTTTGAACATGGAGACCTTTATATTATATCTAACCTGAACAGTAACGACTTTTCTGTCTTTCCATCACGTTTCCTGAACGTTGGGACTTCAGCCAGGTAAGGAGGATCACAGTCTCTCTGGACCTGCAGAGTGTAGAAGCACATGTTTTAGACTAAAAGTAAAAGTAAAAATATGACAATAATTTGTTATCTGATAGAAAATGTTTGAAAAAGCTGAGACAGGTTTGTTGTGATGTGGAGATGATGATGTCATTAGAAAAGACTGATATCTTTTTGATTTAGGTTAAAAAGAAAAAAAAAAACTTATATAGTTATAGTATATTTTGTAAAACTTCGTCAAAGATCCACTTCAGAGGAATCTGAATAATAATTGATTAATATTTTCCTCCACATCAGCTTCTTTATTCTAGAATTTATTCTAGTATTATAGGAAACAGCAACATATCCAATATATGATTTCTAAATTAGATACAGTTGAAGGAGGGAAATCAGATCATCTTCATCTTCACATCTCCATCTGGGTTTTTTTTAACTGCACATTCATTTCTATTGATTATAACAAAATACACACATTAAAGATGTGGAATCACAAATATATATATTCACCATGTGAGTTCACTATAAAGAAAAATTATAAAATTATAAAGATCGTTATTGGATTATTATTATTATTTATTTATAAAGTGACTGGTGGGGGGGCGGGGTTAAGCCACCTCACTAATCGGCCCCTCCTCCATCTGTTTGGCAGCGAAACGGACGACATGGTGTTTGAGGACTTTAAACGAGTCTACCTGAAGGGAGTGGTCTACGGGGACGACGACGAGTCTCCAACAGAGGCGTAAACTACAAATATGGCCGCCACAGTCCAGACCGTCCCTGCTGTCCATCACCGCCCAGAGCTGAAGAGACACACAGTTTGACCTGAAGACACTAGATAATGATTTTAGTGATTCCATAATGTTTCCTGTGGCGCCCCCCTCAGGACAAACTGCGCATGTTCATCTCCTTTACTGTTCAGACTTCTGTCATGTTAGAACTGTAATGAACTCTGCAGCCTGTAGGGGGCGCTGGTAGTGCACCACTGGACTGGGAAATAAAACAGGGCAGAGCTGCAACTCTTTTTCCAACATCAGTTAACCTGCTCATAGTTTTCTCTTTTCTTTGATTCTTTGTTTTCTCTATCAAATGTCAGAAAACAGTGAAAAATGTCCAACACTTCCAGAACAAACTGTGTTAATGTCTCTCTGTTTGTCCATCACAGTCTGTGAAGGAGGACACTAACAGATAGATTTAGATATGTTCAAAAATGCAAGTTAGAGCCCTTTTATTGTGAAAATTGCTTGTTAATCAGAAAGTTATTGATCAGATATGATCTGCCTGTAGGTGAAATTATAAACAATATGAACCTAAAATACAATGTTTAAATGTTGATTTTTATTCACATGAGATTGTAAAAGTGTTAATGGGTCCTAAGAGGTTATTATTAAAATATAACTATATATAAATTATTCATCCACATGAAGAAATCTGTTCAAGATGATGTAGTGTAACGCTTAAAATTCTTTTCAACAATATTTTAATTCAGATTCTAAAATGTTATTCAATAATATTAGGAAACAGTTTAAGTCAGTGTCGTTTGTACTTATACTTTTACTGCATCCGTGTGTTTGTTGCTAAGTAACTCTGAATTTCAATAGTTCCGTCAGTTTTTGGTTTTGAATTAAAGAAAAACATTCAATTTAAATTCCACATTTCTGCACTTAGTTGTCTTTTAAAAAGAGATTTGAAATAAACATAAATCAGAAGAAGGCGAGAACACAACATAACATGTAAAGCAATAGTGATGGTAGTGCTACAGATATCAATTAAAAAGAACAAAGATGTTCCTCAAATAGTATTTTGATTTACTGATCATTTCAGTACAGTTATTTCAAAATAAATCCAGAAAAATCCAATCCGCAGGTATATCTGACTGTCTTGCTTAGGCTCACGCAGCATTTCCACTTGAAGTTTATTTAATTCAATTCAATTTTATTTATATAGCGCCAAATCACAACAACAGTTATCTCACAGCGCTTTTCATAAAAGAGCAGGTCTAGACCGTACTCTGTGATGCTATTTACAGAAGCCCAACAGTTCCCACCAAGAGCAGCACTAGGCGACAGAGGCAAGGAAAAACTTCCTTTAAGAGGCAGAAACCTCGAGCAGAACCATGGCTCAGGGTGGGCGGCCATCTGCCTCCACCGGTTGGGGTGAAGGAGAGAGAGAGAGAGAGGGGAGGGAGGCAGCCTACACAATATACACAGAGATACAGACAGTGAAGGTGATGTTGCTATAGACTAAATGAAAAATGGTACAGATATTTATAGTAGTGTTAATGATAACAATCGTAATGTTAATGATTATAATAACAATAATAACAATAAGACTAGCAACAATAGTCGTTGTAGCAGAGGGTGTCGAGCAGGAACACGGGGGCAGCAGGTGACCCGCAACCACAGATCCAGTTATGTAATCCAAACAAAGGGTGTTATGTCCTGAGTTGTTTAACACATCTAGATGTGAATACCACAAAATGAGAGCTGAAATTCTGAACTCTTGTCTCAGACTCATCTTTTGATCTTAAACCCAAATGTCTTCAGTGAACAACAAACACAAAGGAATTTGCCTTACTGTTCCAATACTTTTGGAGGGGATTATATATATAAATAAATCCCCCTCTCAGTCCTTGCGGGGTGGAATGTGTCATCCTCAAGCTCGGGTCACCTACCAGAGTCCTGGGAGTACCTGGAATCTGCTGGAGCCACTCTCCCAGTTTGGGGGTCACAGCCCCCAGTGCTCCAATCACCACTGGCACCACTAAACCATTCGGTTTATTCTCCTGGCTTCTGCTTCTCCCTCGTATCAGGTAGCCAGAGCGATAAGTCTTTGTTTGGCAGTCTCCAGAGCCTCAGGTATCGACAGATTGTTGTATTTCTTAGGTAGCCCCTTCCTTGCACCTTTCTGTTGACAAACTTCTCTTTGTGTTGCCTTGTTCTTGGCATCTAGCCTTTTCCTCCATGGGGGTAATTCTCTTTGTGGCTTGTGGTGTTCATCTTATAGACAAGCATCTCTAGGATCACATTTGCTGTGGCGTACATCAGCTCATTGGTCTCGGTTATGGCTTTAGTAGGGATAGTATAGTGCTGCAGACTTTCAGAGGGTACTTTGTCACTTAGCCTTGGCAATCTTGGTCGTTCTTGGGGGTCCAGCTTGGTTATGACCTTCAATCGTAGGTCAGTCGCCCTTATGTTGAGTGATTCTGTGCCGTAAGGGCTTGTTTTTATTGGGGCTTGGGACCCAATTTCTAAATGTGGGTCTCCCCGCTGACCTGTCGTCCTGGCTCCCCCTTGCCGTAGCATATTTGTTGCACTTCATCAATCTCTAGTATCAATGGTTTCAAGTGACTTAAAGCATCTTTACCTTTAATTAAAATTATGTCATCGTTAAGTCTTGTTGTCCTCCTGCTGGACATGATTACTTATTGCTGCACTCTGCTTCGACTCTTAAGTTACTATACACACATTTAATTCATGTTTAATTGAGTATTTAATTGTAAAAAATTGTATTTAATTAAAAGAGAACAGTTGCAAAAACAAAACTGTCATGTTTTTTCAGGCCACAAAAAGTCAGAGGCCGGGACGAGAGGAGAACACTGAGATTAATGAGTATGTTCTTATGGGGTCCAGTACTGAAGGCTGGCTAGAGGAAGATGCTGGAGCCCAGAGGAAAGAGTAGTATCTCCAAGGTTGTTGTTTCATATTCAGATATAAGAAAATTGAAAACAGTGTTTTAAAACAGCCATAAGGCTTTTTTCCCACCAGTTTCTTTCTGCTCTGTTGCCCTTGGTCACTGCTAACTCTTTTTGTGTTATATGAAAATCTGTATTGAAACCAAAACTGTCTTTCAGTACATTTACAGTATTTCACATTTGCAAATAGGCTCAAGCTGTACAGAGATCAAGGGTCTCCACAGCCATAAAGCGAAGACCTCCTTCATGTGCATTTTTTTAAACACTGTGACATTAAAGTCACAAATGGTTCACTAGTTTGTTGCTAGAAACAGCAACCTGCAGTTCTTAACCACAGGTTACAGTTTTGTAGGCCTCCCTATTCTGAGTACACTCTCTGAACTTAAAGCAAGGTGTAAAAGAACTAAAACCAGACAAAGTGTTTATCACTTTAACATTAACAGAGAAGTAAAAGAAATCAAGCAGTTTAAAATACATTTCCCATTACAGTGAATTAATGAGACAGGTTTGTCCATGATTGTGGAAGGTGTTATGCATGTAACAGTATTTTGGAAAAAAAATAAGAGTTTGGAACTGAACTAAACTACAGCTGCCAAACACCATCAATGAAAAACACTGTTGCTAAGTAAGTCTACAGGAAGAGAGTGAAGACTTTGAGAAGAGAAAATGATGACAAACTTAAAATTGATAAATGTTGCTAAAATCTCTTACTCTGAATTGTTTTTTAGAAAGTCTAGTAGATTCAAAGTTTACCAATGTACTGTGGCGCAACACTTGTTAATCTATAAAGGCTTGTAAGTAATGAGCAGCCTAGGATTTAAAAATGCAGAAACTGGCAACCAGTGCAAATAAACTAAATCTAGGGTATAAAACATTCAAAGCAGATAAAAAGGGCTGCAACATTTTTAAATGGAAAAAATATTCTCCCCTTCAGGCTCCCCAAACAGCAGAACACAGTCCTGATGTAAAGTAAATGGTGCTGCAGTACCTGAAATTTAATTAATAAAATTGAAATGATTTTAGATGTTAAAAACATCTTGATGGGGCACATGCCAGTATATAATTATCACAAAATCAATTAGCTTCCTGTTGGCAAATCCTGCCAAATAGTTGCTGTGACTTTAAGAGAGAAACCACAAGAAGCCTGATAAGGAAATTAATAGATGAAGAGGAAACCGCAGAGGAGAGCTGTTACAGAGTATAAGATCAAGAGACAGTAAATGAGGAAGATGGATACACTGATACACTGATATGGACAACATGCCAACTGGACATGGATCACATACTGGTGGTGTTCATGTTGCTCTGGAGCTCAGGTAGGACTTCACTGACTGCTGCTCACACAGCATGAGCTTGGATTGACTGACCCACTGGCAGATACATAAACTTCAGTTAAACCATCATTTTAAATTATAGTCAAGCAAGTCTAAAAATATAGGATAAAATGATGAATCATCTTTAAGTGTTTCAGTTACAGCTGTAAGGTCTGTAGAGAAATATGGACTGACTGAGGGCAACTTGTTTAGATTCTACTTGAAAATTTAGAAACTGTGTGATATTGGAGGATTGATAAGTGTTAATCACAAATAGGTCAATCTAAGATGATAGCATACTTCCTATCATGTCCTATCATGTACAGTCTGTTAACTCCCAATCTACAATATGCACACAGTTGAGACAGGCTGGAAAAGTGAGCTTGGATCTCAGACATCTCTAAAGTTCTGTGATCAAACATGCTTTATATAAGACAACCAGTCAAACATGCGTATGATTGGTGGTTTTTTGAATATTTAACCTTATTTAAATGTTCTTTGCAATGTGTTGTTTGATGATGCTGGTGGAAATTAGAAGAGTTCAAAACTGTTTGCCATCCCCAACCCTGATCTTTATATCCCACCTTAATCCTAAAACCAAGGCTTAACCCTCAAAGGCCCCTTAAATTATTAATCTTTATCTTGCTTGGTCCTAGGCCTAGGATTTATGCACGACAGTTAAGTATTCAGAACCTCCTAGTTAATTTAATATTAATTGCATGATGTGTGTGTTACTTTCGACCCTCCTGTGTGTTACTTTCGACACTCCTGTGTGTTACTTTCGACCCTCCTGTGTGTTACTTTCAACCCTCCTGTGTGTTACTTTCAACCCTCCTTTCAACCCTCCTGTGTGTTACTTTCGACCCTCCTCTGTGTTATTTTCGACCCTCCTGTGTGTTACTTTCAACCCTCCTGTGTGTTACTTTCAACCCTCTTTCAACCCTCCTTTCAACCCTCCTGTGTGTTACTTTCGACCCTCCTGTGTGTTACTTTCGACCCTCCTGTGTGTTACTTTCAACCCTCCTG